GCTCGGCCAGCAGCTGCTCGAGCACTTCGGCTGGCGCGGCGGCTTCCTGCTGCTCGGCGGCCTCCTGCTGCACTGCTGCGCGTGCGGCGCCGTCATGCGCCCGCCGCCGGGCCCCGGCCCGCGGCCTCGCGGGGACAGCGCGGACGGCGCCCCCGGGGAGGCGGAGGCGGAGGCGGAGCGCGCGGGGCTGCGTCTGCGCGAGGCGCCCTCTGGCGGCCGCAGCCGCCGGCGCCTGCTGGACGTGGCCGTGTGCGCGGACCGCGCCTTCGGGGTGTACGCCGTCACCAAGTTCCTGATGGCGCTCGGGCTCTTCGTGCCCGCCATCCTGCTGGTGAACTACGCCAAGGACGCGGGCGTGCCGGACGCCGACGCCGCCTTCCTGCTGTCCATCGTGGGCTTCGTAGACATCGTGGCGCGGCCGGCGTGCGGCGCCCTGGCGGGCCTGGCGCGCCTGCGACCCCATGTCGCCTACCTCTTCAGCCTGGCCCTGATGGCCAACGGGCTCACGGATCTGAGCAGCGCGCGCGCGCGCTCCTACGGCGCCCTTGTCGCCTTCTGCGTCGCCTTTGGCCTCTCGTACGGCATGGTGGGTGCGCTGCAGTTCGAGGTGCTCATGGCGGCCGTGGGTTCGCACCGCTTCCCCAGCGCGCTGGGCCTGGTGCTGCTCGTCGAGGCCGTGGCCGTGCTCATCGGACCGCCCTCTGCCGGTGCGCCTCCCCGTCCCGGGAGGAGGGGGCGCGGGGCTAGTTCCCCAGACCGAGGGAAGCGCCTTCCCTGCCCCAGATGGAGCTTCCAGGGATGAGGGAAAGGGACCCATTGTCCGGGACAGCCTGGTGGGGTGGGCAGCCCCTTCCCGTGGCTAATTAGCCCCTCCTCCAAGCCCGGTACTACTAGCTCTGGGCGGGGGCGGAAGGGCCGGGAAAGGTGCCAGGAAGAACCCAACACTGACAGCAGCGGACCCACTGGGTCATTTCAAATGTTGGCCCAGAGCCCTTGTGAAGTACAGGTGCTTATTCTCCTTTTGCAGGTGGGCAAACTGAGGCACAGGGGCCTAGTACAGTGCGGTGCCAGAGGAAGAGCAGAGCCCTGCCCAGGGCTAAATGCCCCTACCTTTGGAACACTGCAGCTGAGGGCTTTAGTGTCCCCAGCCGTCAAGGGTGACCAGAATAGGGACAGTGTCTTTGAGGGACCAGACGTGAGGCTGGGAGCAGAGTGGGGGTGCTCATGAGTGGTCACCCTGGGGCCCAGGAAGGGAGCTCCCTCCCTCCTCTGTCCAGCAGGCCATGGCCAGGTCCTGCCCTCGCTTGGTGAAGCTACCATGCAGGGACAGGGTCTGGGCCTTCCGCTGTGCGCACCACCCACTGGGCACACTACAGTCATTGGCCTTAGGAAGTCACCATGATGAGAGGCCAGGGAGGATCCCTGCAGGGGCCGGCATGCAGGCAGCCTCACAGGGCAGGACATAGGACAGTGTGGGGCACATTAGGGGGACAGGGTTCCTATACAAGTGAGGCAGGAACTGAGCTTGGAAAGAGGGGACATCAGGGTCCTCCAGGATTGGCGGATCGTCTCTGAAACAGCACAGAGAGCCTGTCTGTGGTCAGGCTGTGGGATGAGCAATGAGGGGAGGCCACCTCTGCTGGGGCCCAGGCTGCCCCTGAGATAGGGTGAACTGCCCCTCCTTCCAGGGCTGGGCTAGCCAAGTGTCCTCATCAGGGCTTGTCATCTCACTTCAGTGTGAGGGCAGCCCCCGCAAGCTCACCACCAAAAGCCACAAAACCAGCCCCCCGGAGGCTCAGGGGTCCATCTTCCATTTTCCCATGTGACCTGGGGGGTGGGTCTAATAGGGGGTAAGGAGGTGAACACTTGCAGGGCAGAGTGTAGGAGGGGCGGGCAGGGACCAGGAAGGCAAGTTTAGGAGAAGTGCTCAGAGGGGCTCAGGCAGGCAGCCGGCTTGGGGGACACTGGGAAGCCTCCCCAAAGCCACAGAGCTGTAGACCAAGGGGTCACAGCCTGGGGTGGTAAGTGACAAAAATGCCAGGGGAGGATGGAGCCCGCAGAGGAACCACGCTTGGGGGGCAAATATTTGCAATTAAAATTAAAAGATTTTCCTGAGTATGAAAGTAATACGTGCTTGGAGAGAACACTTGGAAAATACAGAGGGGGTTAACAGGGATTGTGACCCACACGTCCTGCCCCCAGCCCGCACTGGTGGAAGCTCAGCCTAGGGGTACCGGGGCCCTTGGCAGGGGCAAGAGGCGGCTGGGGAGGGAGACAGAGAGAAAGCTGAGCCAGGCCCCTGAAGACCAGGGGGTTAGGTGGAACAATGTAAACCCCACCAGGTTGAGGGGGGCACTCCCCTTTATCTGAGGCTGTGGGGAAGGGTGAAGGTGGGCTTCCACGCAGGCCCTCACCTTGCCACCCCCCCCCCCGCCCCAGGCCGCCTGGTGGACGCCCTGAGGAACTACGAGGTCATCTTCTACCTGGCCGGCTCCGAGGTGGCCCTGGCCGGGGTCTTCATGGCCGTCGCCACCAAGTGTTGCCTGCGCGGCCGCCGCTCTCAGGACACCCGGCCCGGCCAAGGCGCCGGGGGCGCGGCCAGCGACAGCGAGGACGCTGAGGCGCCAGGCGACTCTGAGGCCCTGCCTGCCGGGTCTGAGGAGCCTGGCAGCCTCGAAGCCCGGGAGGTGCTGAGCCACGGGGCCGCGGCACCAGAGGCGGAGGCGGAACCAGGGCGGGACCCCAAGCCTGTATAGCCCCCAGGGGCACCAGGCGAGGTGGCTGGTGACTTTGGGAATGGGGTTTACCCTCTCAGAGCCCTGGCTGTCCCAAGAGGGCCTGGCACGCTGGAGGCTGCTTTGCGGTGGTCCCCCCTGGGGCCCCGGGCCGGGGGGGGGGGCGGCGGGGAGCTCCCTCCCTCATCTGCCCAGCGGGCCATGGCCAGGCCGTGGCCTGGCTCAGTGATGCTGCTGTGCATGGACCGGGTTTGGCCTGTGCGAAACTGAAGTTCATAAAGCTCAGCTGCAAGACAGAGGTCCCGTTCCTGTGCCTTCCCAGCCCTGGTGGCTGGGGGTCGGAGGAGGTGGGAGGGATTCTGAGAGGCTCTCCCCAGGGCCCTCTGACCCGGAAGGTGCTGGGAGAAGAAGTGGCAGAGATGGAAGAGGGGGCGTGGAGGGGGGAGGTGTTCTGACTTGGAGGCACTAGGGGTCTCTCTCGCACTTTGACTTTTGACCTCTTGCACTTGGATCCAAGTGCAGCAGAGCCCAGGTCTCACCCTGGCTGGAAAGCCTCTGGGATCTATTCGCTCCATGTATTTATTCTCTTCCCACAAATCTGACACCTGGCACTTCCTTTGCTTCCCTCCCTCCACATCATGAGTGTGGAAACCAGGCCCGAGAGTAGGAAGGAGCCTTCCCGCCGCAGAGCCCTGCTATTGAGCTGTCCCACCAGTACCCCCCCTCCTCCCCACCGTTGGTCTCGTTTTCCAACCAGGTCCTACGAAGGCGTGGGAGCCCTCGAAAATGCCTGGCTAACACACAGGTCTGCATCCCTGAGCCACTAGAGCAGTGACTACATTTTATTAAACACTCAGAGCAGGGACTGTGTGCCAGGTGCTGTCAGGGCCTTTACAAGTGCTAACTCATCAGATACTTATAGCCCGAGCAGGTTAAGGGCCACTGCTGGCCACAAGCACAGACAGGGAAACTGGAGCACAGAGAGGTTAGGGAGTAGTAGTCCAGGGCCACAGAGGCGGTGGCTGGAATCCAGCAGTGGGTTTCGGTCTGTGCCCGTGGCCTTCACGCCGGCTGTTCCTTCAGTCACAGCCCCTCACAGCCTCTTGCTTCCTCCCCTTCTCAGGATGGGCGTATAACTCACTGTTCAAACAGGGACACTTCTGGGGTGAAAAGGGCCACCGTTCATTACACGGGGACCACAGGTGTGGTCTGTGCTGACAGGAGACACAGCCAGCCTATTTCCACCGCTTTGCAAAGACGCAGAGTACGAGGGCGGCGTGGTCCACTGGCCTTCTAGGTGTGCCTAGAGTGCTGGGGGCTTCCCTGACATTCTCTCCCCGACGTGGGGCCTTGGGGCCTCCGGACCCAGCGTCTGCCCTGCCCTTCCCAACGGCGGCAGAGCTACTGGCCAGAAGCCCGGGCAGAGCCAAGGTGAGGGAGGAGGTCAGAGGCCCCACAAAGCAGCAAGCCTTGGGGTCTCTGGGACCTGCCAGACTCAAGTCCAGATCCCTCTCTATCCCTGGACACTGGGTGGCCCTGAGCAAGCCACTTCTCGAGCCTCAGTCCCCCCGTCCGCACGCGGGGACAGGAGTGCCAGTTCACAGAGCTGCAGCGAGGAAGACGAGCGAGGGTATGAAGGGAATGTCGCTGCATCTTGTTGCCCGCCCTCCCTCGGGACCAGGGAGGCAGCAGACGGGGCGGCGAGGGGAGGAGGCGGGTCCGAGGCCACCGCAAAGAGCCCGGCTCAGTCTGGGTCTGTGTTTATTCGGTACAGGCCCAGCGCCTGGCCCTCCCCTGGGGACGCGGCTGAGCTGGGGGACATGAATAAATAAAGGCCGCGGAGGGGTGAGTGTGGGAGGGGCTGGGCCGGCCTGGGGCGAGGTGAGGGGGTCCGCGGCCACCGGCCCCAGCCTCGGCTGCGCGCCCACGGCCCCCCACGCTGGCAGGCTCCAGGTGGGGCCGGTGCTGGTGCCCACGGGCAGCGGCTCCGGGGCTTGGGGCCACCTCCAAGCCCTCCTCCTCTCTGCGCCCCCTCTCTCCTCCCTAAGGCAGTTCCAGGGGCCAAGCTCCCCAACTGGCTGGGGAGGTGGGGGGGAGGGGGAGGGGGGCCAGTGTCCAGATCAGGCCGCAGGCCCTGGGCACTCTCCTGGGCTGGAGCCCGGTTCACTGAGCCAGGACAGAGGAGCGGGGAGGCAGCGCCCCAAGCCAGCCGGCCTTTATGCGCCACCCTGTGGTGTGGCGGCGCCGCCCCGGCTTCTACCCTCTGTCCTCCCGCCCACAAGCCCCCATCCGCACCCCACGGCGGGGGGGCGCACTCAGGAGTCACACCAGCTCCCACCCCTGTCCAGGGGCCCAGCAGCCCCTTGCGCATCCCTGGGCGGCTCCCCGGCTGCCGTGTCGTCGTCGTCTTCGTCCTCGTCCTCGGCGTCGGTGAACCCGTCCTGGCCGAGGCCATAGGCCAGCGTGGTGTGGGCCAGGTCCACCTCGATGGGGAAGACGTCGGCGTCACGCAGCACTGCGTAGCAGTCGTTGTAGTACTTGGACATGGTGGACACGAAGCGCTGCAGCTGGAACACGATGTCCTGGACTGGGGCGGCAGGGCGGGCAGACAGGCACCAGTGGAGAAGACCCCGCCCCCGCCCCCGCCCCCGCCCCCGCCCCCGCCAAGCCGGCCCGGGCCCGCCTCCTGCCCCGGCGCAGACGCGGATCTCCCAGCTCCCAGGCTCGGTGGGGAGATTGTGAACCCCGCTGCACCCCCAGGGCGTGGGCCAGTCCCACCCCAAGCCAGGCCCCAGGAAGCGGGGCCGCTCCTGCCAGGACTTTCCATCTTGGGTCCGACTCAAAGCTCTGCACAGCGGGACCGTGTGACCTCACGGAGGTACCTTACCTCTCCGGGCCACCGTTTCCCCAGCTCTGAAATGGGGAGATGGCACCCACCCCCCAAGCGCAAGCACGGCGCAGGGCTGGGGTTGGGCAGGCCTCTCCGGCCCCCAGTGCCCACCTACTCCCCTCACCATGCTTCTGGTCCAGCAACTCAATCTTCTCCAGCACGTCTTTGCGCATCTGGGAGAAACGGGCGCGGGCCTCCTGGCGACAGCGCAGGATCAGGCGATACTCGTAGTTGCCAGTGCTCACACGGTACAGGGGCTCCCCCAGGGCCTGGGGCAGTGGGGGGCACATCAGGACCCCGGCGGGGTGGAGAGTAGGGGAGGGGGAGCCTGCTTTGGGACAGACGGCGGCGGGGGTAAGGTTGCAGAGCCCAGCTCCCAGCTCACACCCCTGCAGCACACGGCACTTTTCAAAGCTCCCACGGTCCCTCACTTCTGGGACGCCAGAAGCACTTACTCTTTGTGAAGAAAACAAAAGACCACACCCTTGCACGTTAAATAATGAACATTTAGTGCTAAGGTAGATCCTGCCATCAAAAATATTAAAAATGTAGAGGATTAAAAATGGCCTCTTAGGAGTGAGGGAAGTCAGCTTCTCCCCACAAGAGCCTCGCAAAGCCTGGGAGAGAGGTACTGCAGCAAGCTGGCCAGCACTCGGAGGCCCAGAGGGGCCTGGGTGGGGATGGACAGCCCCACACCTCCAGAAACAAGAGCCCAGCCAGACCCCCAAGCCTCTCCCAGGTTGGCCTGAGCCACCCGCTGCCCCTGGCAGCCCCAGGACATTCTTGGGCCTCTGTGAGACAAGCAGGGGAAGCTGTGTGCACCCCAAGACTTTCCAGCACCAGGGCCACCCCCCAATCGCCCCTGAAAACTCACGATGCAGCTGTACTCCTCGTCATCCATCTCCTTCACCTTCAGGCAGTAGGACTGTGTGGGACAGCAAGGCCACAATGTCAGAGGGGCAGTGCCTCCTGGATGCCCACCCTGATGCCCACTTCCGTCCATGCCCCACAGGACCCCAAAGCCCTGCCTGGGGGCGGCCATGTCAGGCCTCCTGGGCCCTGCGTGCCCTCAACTAGGATAGGCTGGAACCTCACTCGACTGGCTCTTGCTTGGGGAGGCCCAGGGCGAGGTGGCAGTACACAGGAGGGGGCACTCATCTGGGAGGGTGACAAGGGCCTGAGAAACAGCCCAGCATTTGCCAAACTCAGGTCCTAAGAGATGTTCTGGGTTAAAAGGGATTCCATGATCAAAAGAGCGTAGGAAGGCCCTAGAAGATTCATGTTGCACACAAGCCTGTCAAAGGCTCTGAGAAGTCCTGCATCAAAGGAGCCTTGGCTTGCTTGGTGGAGCATTTTCCCCTCAACTCTTTTGACCATCAGAATTTTTATTTCAACATAAAATGTCCAGAGGCGCCCGGGTGGCTCAGTCAGTTGGGTGTCCAACTCTTGATTTCAGCTCAGATCGTGATCTCAGGGTCGTGAGATCGAACCCCGCATCAGGCTCCACACTCAGCACAGAGTCTGCTTGAGATTCTCTCCCTCTGCCCCTCTTCCCACTCACACGCTCTTTCAATCAATCAATCACCTTAAAAAAAAAAAAAAACCCACAACTCAATAATGTCCCTTGGCACCCACTTTATAACCACTGACCCACTGTAAAAGTGACCAAAAAATCCCAAGGGGTCAAAGGGGTCCAGAGTAAGGGCTCTGCCTACCCCAGGCTCCCAGAGGCTCCTCGGTGCAGTCGGGGCAGGGTCTAGGCTGTGGTCCAATTCCCCAGTACCTCCCAGGTCCCTGTCCCACATCCTCAGACATGACAGAGGTTCTAGGGCCATCCTGCCTGCCATCCTGTGGCCAACTGAGGGGAAAATCTCTAGGTGGGTTCTTTCCCCAGCATGCCAGACTCATCCCTCCCCAGGGGCTGGAGACCACTTACCAGGTACTCGAACTTCACATCCAGGTACTTCTTGATGGTGAGGCGAGTGTCTGGGATGGCTTTGTTGAGGTACGTGTTCAGGTCTGTCAGCATCTGGAAGGGAAGGAGGGAGCAGATGCTTAGTCCCCCGGGGGCAGGGATTAGGCTAGCCAGCATGACAAAGAACAGCACTGATCCAGCAATCCTTCTAGTGGACCCAGGTGTCAGAGCCAAAGGGCACCCTCAGACAAGTCTGTCCACTCCAGGGTGAGAAGAAGATACAGCCGGGCCCAGGGCAAACCGTAACTCAGGTGCAGCCAGGGCCAGAAACCAGCCTGGAGGTCAATGCTGAGTGAGGCCAAGGAAGCAGAGTGACCAACCCACAATCAGCCACAGTGTAGGTGACCAAGCCAGAACCTACACCCACGTGTTCTGACTCCAGTCTGGGACCCTTCTGCAAGCCACACTGTCCCCTCTCTACCCTCACATGCTGACACATGCCCCACACAACCCACCGGCTTGATGGTTTTCAGCAGCCGGATGCCGAACTTCTCGATGCTGCGGTGGGCGTCGGCAAACTTCACGAAAGCCTCGCTCGCGGCTGGCTGGGGCTCCCGCACCCCGATGACGGAGAACACGTCCCCAAAGGCTGCAGGACAAGTCTGCCCTGAAGGCTGTCCCTACCTGACCCCTTCATGGGGAAGCCAGGGATTTGTCGGGGCGAAGCAGGGCAGGGGGCATGGCAGGCTGAAGGCCAAGGTCTATATGAAGTCTATGTCCCAAGGGAGGTGGGTCTACACCTGAAGAGAGTTGGGTCTGTACCCCCAAGGGAGCTGGGCCTACACCCAAGAGAGTAGCCCTCATTCCCCAGAATGACCAGACCATGTGGGAAGAAGGCTCAGTCAAGACTGGAGGCCAGTGTTGCCGGACGGCAGATCGCTGCTCTAGGAATCTGGATGCCGGGGTCTAAGGCCAGCTCTGCCCGAAGGGGCTGGGTGACCATTTCCTCTGCCTGGGCTTCGTTTTCCCAACTGTAAAATGGGGATAACTGCAGCTGCCCTGCCCAGCCAAGCAGACTTGTAGGAAAAGGGAGCACGCATAAGGAAGGCTCTCTACACTGAAAGCGGCGGTAGAGATAAGATGGGGGAGGGCCCAGACAAGGGACTGGGCCCCACAGAAGACCAGCTGGTCCAGATGCTCCCTACTGGCCCCCATTATTGCTACCTCCTGGCATCTAGACAAGGCTCAGCCCGAACCTGGCCCGACATCAGATGCCGTGGCATCTGCCTGGGTGTGGCTGTGAGGAAGGCCCCAGGGAGGGCTTCGGCCACACCCTCACTGTATGAGGGAGCACTGAGCTCAGAGGGGAGCGAGGGTCTTTCCAGGGTCACAGAGCATGTCTGGGGGCGCCCTTACCCCGGTGTGTCTGTGACAGCTCATAAAAGGCCCGGAGGAGGTTCTTGGTGTGTTCTGTCATTCCTGTGGGAGAGACCCCACCGAAGGGGGATGGGGACACATGGTGGGGCCACAGTGGCCGCCCAGGACACGGCGTCCAACCCCGCCCTGAGGCCCTCACTCTTCCTGAGCTCGCTGGCTTTTCCCACAGCCCCGCTAGGGCTCAGCCCCAGGCCCAGCGCCACCCAAGAGCGGTCCCCATCAGACAGGAGAGCCAGGGCTCCGCGGGGCAGACAGTGAACAAGGCCTCCCATGGGCCGGCTCTCTGGGCGCTAGCTGGGTTCGGAGAGACTCCCACCGCATTCCCGTGTGCTATTACTGGAATTTTTATGGACATGTATTAGCTTCATAATCAGAAAAAGTATGTCTTAAGAGGCTTTTTTCTTAAGAATCCCTGATGGCCGCAGTCCTAGGATTTCACAGGCCAGCATTCCTGTGCCTGCTGCCACCGTGTCAGAGCAGGGCCGGGACGACCCACCCCAGCGGCCCGTGCCGGGCACGGCTGCTCACCTCGGTACAGCTCGGCGGTCCGCTCCAGTTCCTCCAGCCTCTTCACAAGCCCATCTGTGGGGGCGGGGGGGGGGGCGGCAGTGAGTCTCGACAAGGCCGAGGTGAGGAGAGTGCCAGGGGTGGCCCAGAAGAGAGCCAGGACTGGCAGCGGACGGGCCCCAGGAAGGGGGAGCTGGCTCCTCAGCCACACTCGGGAGTGCTCTGTAGCAGCCCGGGACCCCCAAACCACAGGCAAGCCGGGGACAGGCAGGGTGGCCCTTGGGCCACTCCTGCGGTAAGTCCCCACCCAGCAGGCGGCACATCAGCGGGGCAGGAAGGTGGTGATCATTTCGGTACTGCCAAAGTCAACGGTGAAAAATGGTTGGGTCGTCCCCGAGGCCCCACGTGTGGGTGGCTCCAGATGGCCAGCCAAAGGCAGGCCCTGTCCTAGCAGGCAAGGCCCGCGTACTTCTAGCACAAACCCTGCCGACAGCCAAGGGGGAAGGCAGTCAGAGATAAGCCGGAGAGATGGGTCGCTATGACAGCCTCAGTGCACGCGTGACAAGCAAATGTGACAGCTCAGGAGGGAGAACCACTCAGGGAGGGAAGACCGAGTCAGGAAGGGCCCTGAGGCAGAGATCGAGCTGGACCCGGCCTCGGCGATCATCCTCATTCGCTTCACAGAGCTTTCTCAAGCACCTTCCGTGTGCCAGGCCCCACGTCAGGCCCACAGAATGACCTTGGTGAATGAGCCCCACATCATGCCCTCGAGGCTCACAGTCCAGCAGAGGAGACGGTGGCCAGGCAATGACTGGGGTGACCATAGGACTGTCAGGGGAGAGGTGGGGGCAGCTGCCTCCCCTCAAGGGCTCAAAATGGGAGCAAGTGGACTGCTGGGGCCGGCATTTCGGATCAGGGAGGGAGGGCCCTCCAGCAGTGAGGGGATGGGGGGGGGGCCTCCCACTGCCCCACCAGGAGCACCAGCGGCCACCACAGGGCAGGGTCGGTGCCGTGGCTTCCTCACGTGGCGGGCCCTCAGGGCAGGGCCTGGCTGCACTGAGCTCGGCTGCTGTGAGCCTGGACCCACCGCTCAAGGCTCCTTGCACACAGCTCAGTCCTTCCTTTGAATGAGCCTCTGGGGCAGGGACTGTATAAGCCGAGGGACAACTTGCCCGAAGGCACACAGCTGGGTGAGCCCTCTGACACCCCCTTCCGCCCCAGGCGGGGTTTTCTGAGTGGGAGGTGGGGAGGAGAGTGGAAGCCGAGTCTGGGCAAGGTGGCTGGGTGTCAGGCGGCCATGTGGGCTCTGGGGCGGGGGGGAGGGAGTATCGCAGGGGTCTTCAGAAGCTTGGCCCCCCAGCTGGCCCCTGGCTGGCCCCCAGAGCCCTGGCCCCTGGCCAGCCTGGCAGGAAAGGAACCACGTAAGCACCGTGCTGTTGTTTTTAGCTGGGTCATGGGACATCATGACAGCTTCAATTTTAGAAACCCTATTTAAGGCTGGGGAAATTGCAAGGTTTGGGGGGAAAAACACAACAACCAGTTCTAATTTCATCTCAGCGCATGGTCACTACAGTAACAGGGATTTATAGGCACCAAGAAGCTGAAAATAGCAGCCACCACTTTTGTACACGGCTTGGAACGAGCTCAGACCCCACCCCCACGTCCCAGCCAATGCTGCCCAGTGTGCCCAGCTGAGCCGACAATACACATAGGCATTTAAATCTAGCCCCCACACATGCACAGAACTGCTATTTATAAGCTCGGGCTGCGGACGGTGGACGCAGGACCAAGTGTTTTACAGGCCACACACATGCGTGGGTGTGAACGTGTGTGTCCGTGCCCCCCACCTCCGGTCCTGGCCTGGAACCTCGGCAGCAAGGGCAGCAGCGCCACCTCCTGGAGAAAGGCAGGGGTGCAGGGAGGGGCACTGCGGGAGCAGGGAGCTGGGGCTGCACTTGAGGGCACCTCGTGGCTGCCGCGGGCGCTGTGACAGTGGCTGAGGGCAGTGGCGCAGGCACCGGCGCGGGGAGCTGGGAGGAGGCACCTCCGCGCTGGGCATCTGTCTCATCTGTGACCTGGGCCTGGAAAAGCCGGGCCCGGGCATGGGGGCCGCTGGCTGCAGGATGCCTTGGCTGACTGCTATGGACGCTCTGTGGGAGGCAGAGAGGCCTCTGGGGATGCAGATGGTGACCATCGGCCCCACGGGCGGCAGGGGCCACGTCAGTTCCACGGGCGGCCGTGGTGCCCCTCAATCTGGAAGCCTGGGCCTGTGACCCCGGGCAGGAGGAGAGGACTCACCATTGCACAGGATGGCCCGGCTCAGGCCCAGGGCGTCTGCGGTCCCCGAACTCATGTTCTCTACCAGCCGATGCTTTACTTTCTTCAACACTGGGACCAGGGAAGAAAGGGACTCAGTGAGGGGAGTGTGCAGCTGGGCCATCAGGCCATCCCTGCCCCAGCTCAACTCCTCATGGCCAGCGACAGCAGGGGCTGAGGGGGCTGCACTGAGCTCTGGTGCAGGGGTGACTGTGAGGTGGGGAGCGCCCCAGTGGGGCCGCACTGGGCCCCCTGCCCTACTTGCTCTCCGTGAAGGCGGTGCTGGAAGCTGGAAGGAGGCTAATGTGTAAAGTGCCAACAGGCAAACCAGGGAGAGTCTCTTCTCCCTTCACATCTGGAAGCCGAGCTGCCATCAGTGCAAGTGACCTCAGACCCCGGACTGTACACGTGGTCGCATACGGAGTCCCTGGAAGGGGACAGGGATGGGACCCAAGGGGTTTCTACAGAGCACCTCCATCGAGGACACACTTCATCTTAGCCTCTCTCCCTAAAAACCAGGACACAGCTGTGGCCCTAGGGTAGAAGAAAAGTGTGCTGGCTCCAGAGCCAAGAGATCTGGGTGTGCATCACCAGGGGACACAGAGCCCTCTCTGGGCCTCAGGCCTTGATGTGGAATGAGGGGGCTGGTCCAGAGGACCTCAAAGCTGCAATGTCCAGCTCTGGAGCCTGAAGCTTCTACAGAACCAAAGCCCAGCCCCCCTAGCAGGAGGCAACCTGTTCCACGGAATGCTGTGAGAGTAAGAGGTGGCCCGTGACCCTCTATCCAAGGCCTGATGTCCAGCTCAGATCTCGAGCCTTCCTGGGAGCAGGTGGGCGCAAGAGGCGGCCAGGGCCACGTAGGGGCATGCGGGTGGGCATGAGGCACCACACCTCACTGTAGGCTGCCCTCCCTTTTGGAGGGGTGAAGGGCTGGCCTATAAGGGACAACCCTAGGGCAGCGAGGTCCCAGAGCAGGTGGCCCTGGGAGAGGACTGCAACATGGGGCAGAGGAAAATCAGGGACAGATTTCTTGGGAGCAGCTGCAGGAGAGCACCCTGGGTCCTCCCAGGCCCTTGACTTGGTCAAAAGCCAGGTAACTCTTGACACACTGTCATAAAAATGCAGAACAGGGGCGCCAGGGGCCTGTGGGGCCACTGGGTGCCACTGCTCTGGCCCAGCTTACCAATGTCCAGGGACATGCCCTGCTTGGGGTCCGCCTGCAGCTTGTTGTAGTGGATAGTCACCTCTCCCTGGAAAAGAGGAGAGTTGAGAAGGAGTCTCCTGGGTCCCAAGCCCCTTCCCTGGGGAAGCCTGCCTGCCCCGAAATATGTGGTCACGAGAGAATCCTGAGACCTGGGAAGGGCCCAGACTAACCATGAATTCTGCCATGCTGGGCCAAGGGCTGTGACCGGGCCCTGCCTTGTAACTGGTTTATTCCCAGCTCCCTCCTTGTCCTACTATGTGCCGGGCCCTGGGGAACCAACAGGGACATGGACAGACATGGTCCCTGCCATCAGAGCTCACCACCTGGTGGTCCTGGGGGTCCTGTGCTCCAGGAGACCAGGTGCCCCGCTCTTCCCCACACCATGCCCCTCTCCGAGCCCTCACCACGCCGTTTGCGTGGTGGGGGGAGACCGCACCCAACTAACACGTCTGCGCACTTTCTCTGTGCCTGGTGCCAGGATGCCAAGGAGCAGGTGTGGGGCAGCCCCCAGCCCTCAGGGCCCAAGCCAGCAGGGAGGCCGATGCAAATCACTTTCTATAACTGGAAGAGAAGCGCTGCCTTCTCCTGAGAAGCCTTCCCTAACCACGGGAGGCTGCCACAGTCACTCTCATCCATGCAATCCTAAGTCCCTTGAACTTGGGAAAGAACCCATTCAAATACAACACAGGATTTCCAAAATGAGCCCTGAAGGGAAACCAAAATGACCTGATGCCGTCAGTCAGGGACAGAGGCAAAGGCTCTCTCAGGCTGCGGCGGAGTGCGCTGTGGGGACCGTGACAGACAGCAGCTGAGGGCAGTGGCACTCAGACCTGGGTGCTGGGCCAGCCGTGCGCCTAAAGCAAATCCCTTCCTCCCTCTGGGCGCCAATAAATGGGGACTATAGTCCCTGCCCACAGCCAAACACAGGAGCCGGGAGACCCCTCCGTTAGTGTCACGGCTGTGCACACACATGAAGACGTCTCGTCCTTGTGGGCAACATGGGGGGCTGGCGTGGCACAGGCCTCAGAGGACAGGGCGGGGGGGCTGTGATGAGCACAGCTGTGAGGGCTGAGGAAGCAGCCACAGGGGGAATGCCCCCGCCCTCCGGTCTGTACCAGGATGAAACACCGTGCACCTGCTTCCCACGAGAGCTCCTCTGCCCGACAGGCTGCGCCGGGTCAGGAACACCCAGGTCACGTGGGGCCGAACAGGAGAATAAACGGGAGAAGGCGGAGAGGCACCTGGCCCCGGGCTAAGGCAAGAGGGACTGGCAGGGACATTGGTACCAGGTCCCTAAGACATGGAGCAGGGACAGGAGTGAGGGAGTCAGAACACTCGACCAAGCTCAATTTACAGTTGGGGCCCTTGCCTCGAAGACTTTGAGAGATCATCCAATGGCTTTGCATTGGTTTGGTTTGCTGTTTTGGTTTCCCAAGTCACTAGCAACAAAATCTCTAAGAAACGGCAAAAGGGCTACATGCTTGCTCCGTGACCGGTCAGGATGCTGCCAGCCATTGGCAGGGGAGGGGACTTGTGCGGCGAGGCCTTGGCCCGTAGCAGCTGGGGTGGGGCGTGGGGCGCAGGGGACCGGCCGTGTATGATTGTGGTCTGCAGAATAAAAGACCTGGGGCAGGACTGAGAGCTACCCCAGACCCCAGAAGTTTCCCTGGGGGTCTGTGAGCCCAGGAGGACCCAGTGGACGGAAAGCTCCTACAGGGATGAGGAAGCGGGGTGGGGGGGGGAGGGCGCTCATCTTTCCCTCGTACACCTCCCAGGCCCAGCATGGCCCAACTGACATTTACTAGGTGTCTACTGACCCCAGCAGGTTCACCTTGGACTTCTAGCTTCAGCTCCAGCCCTGAGTGGGGACACACTGGCTCGCCCTGAGGCACGGTTCCCAGTCCAACAGCAACCCTGGGAGCTGAAGGGCAGGGGACGGGAAGGTGCCCACTCTCCCGCCAAGGCATGACAAGTCCTGGAGCATGAGTGGTATTTACTGACGAGATGTGGGAGACACTGAGAGAGGCTGGAGTGTGGCCCAGACTCTGGTGTACCGAGGGGGCAGTGGAGAGAGGGCCCATCCCCTTCCAGGCCTGCTGGGGCCTCTGGCAGGCTGGACGTCATCGAAGCAGCTCGGCTGCCTGTGTCCCCCTGCCACCCCCCACCCACAGCAGCCTTACCTTCACCTCCTGAATCATCTTTGCCACCTCCACCTTAGTTTTGCCTTTGATCGACCGGCCATTGACACCGGTGATCTCGTCACCAGCTGCCACGGTGCCGTCGAGGGCCGCTGGGGTGTTGTCAAACACCTGGGGGTGCAAGGGGGGGCGGGGTAGACAGTCACGCCCTGCACCCCGACCAAGGCCCGGCTTGGCCCAGCCCTCACACACCCAACTGAGCGTGTGCTCCTCCAAACTCAGTTCTTTAACAGATTTTCCCCACAAGGCTGCTCTGGGCTGACTCGAAGCCCTGAAGCCCCTCTGGTCAGTTCCTGCGCCTTATCTCAGTCCCCAAAGAGCAAGGACTCCACCGCGCATGTGAGTCCCCCTCCCAGGGTGGCCCCTTCAACAGGGTCTACACTCATTGTGGCGTGAGGCTGGGTGGGCCTGTCCAAGCACAGATGCGTGAGTGCTGCTCAGGGCAGTGGGGGGAGACTGCAAACGCGTGTGCAGGGATGGACAAGAACACAAAACATCGCAGCCAGCCAAGAGCCACTGAGACAGACACCGACTTATTTGCAGTGGTCATCTGCTGTCTTTCTCTACTTTGTCTTTTTTTTTTTTTAATTTATTTATTTGACAGAGACACAGCGAGAGAGGGAACACAAGCAGGGGGAGTGGGAGAGGGAGAAGCAGGCTTCCCGCCGAGCAGGGAGCCCAATGTGGGGCTCAATCCCAGGACCCTGGGATCATGACCTGAGCCGAAGGCAGACGCATAACGACTGAGCCACCCAGGCGCCCCTACTTTGTCTTCAGTTGCTAAATTTTCTACACAAAGCATGTAGAAAGAACACTTGATGTTTCACATATGTAACATTATAAGGAAGAAAGGAAAAACCCGAGAGTTTCCACTAACTTCCAGAATCACACTAAAAATACAATTATTATTTTTTAAAGACTTATTTATTTCAGAGAGAGAGCATGAGCAGGGGGAGGGGCAGAGGGAGAGGGAGAGGGAGAGAATCTCAAGCTGACTCCATGCTCAGCCCTGATGCGGGGCTCCATCCCAGGACCCTGAGATCATAACCTGAGCCGAAATCAAGAGTTGGATGGGCGCCCCAATATATTTTTTTTAAATGGTAAAGAAGACAATGAGAGGGTCTACCTGTCCTTGGAAGATGGACAACGGGAACCCAAGGGCCTATGGAGGGGCTTTAGGAAGAGAGATCTAATCTTCGCTGGAAATTGTCAGTGGGTCAGGAAGCAGATCTCTGGCAACAGCCACAGGTGGGTGGAAGACAAGGTGTAGAAAGTAGGCAAAGGACTCAACTCCTGGTTCCGTCGCCATCCACAAGGCAGTCCATGGAAGGTGGAAGATGGAGGTGGTTTTCCCCAGAGAAGCTCCTGACTCAGGCCCAGGGACCGAGGGAGGCAAGAGAGAGGCACGGGACCGGAGAGATTTGGGTTCAGCGAGCCCTAAAGCCCCATAGCCCCAGTGGGGGCCCAGAATGCCAGCAGCCAGGCTTACGGCCCTTCCCCACGGAAACTGGAGGCCACTGCCCTGGATGGCTCCACACGAAAGGCCCGTCTATGTACAGACACTGGCAGATCCGCGCCACCCCCCCCTCAGCTCGCCTGATGCCTGACCATCCCCCAGGGAAGCCCCCCAGACATGGTCTGCACACAAGATCCTCAAACACCATTAGCACATGACTGTGATGGCTCACTCAGCATGTAAACACAGGCGAAAATTACCGGGCACTTGAGAAAAGTGTCCCATAGGAAAAACACTTAAAAACAGAAAAAAGGAACCACAGGAAGCAGAAACAAAGTAGAGCCGGTACAAAAACAAAAAGAAAACCATAATTAACATCTTCAAGATGATTAGAAAAAGAACAGGATGATGTAAAAGGATTGATTCAAAAATAGGGCGGGGGCACCTGGGTGGCTCAGTCCATTAAGTATCTGACTTTGGCTCAGGTCATGATCCCGGTGTCCTGGGATCAAGCTCCGTGTTGGGCTCCTTGCTCCGCAGGGAGTCTGCTTCTCTCTCTCCCTCTGTCCCTCCTCCCACTCGTGCTCACTCGTGCTCACTCTCTCTCAAATAAACAAATCAAATCTTCAAAAAAAAAAAAAAGAGAGATCTCAGAAATGCAAATTATAACAGAAGTTTACAATGTCCAAAGAAGCTATGCAACCAAGCCAAGGAAAGCAAAAAAGACATGGACAATCGGAAAAAAAGAGAAAGAAAAATATTAGAAGATCATTTCGGGAAGCCCAGCACTAGCCAACAGGAGTCCCACAAGAGGGAACAGAAACCCGAGAGCAAGATCCCATCAAAGAGCTAATACTAGAAACTTCCAGGGCGGAGAAAGACATGAGGTTCCCCGAGGGATGTGCCCTCTGAGGTCCAACACAACAAAGACCTGAGCCAAGAGCCATCGTCATGACCCTTCAGAAGGCCAGGGACACAAGGAAATTCCCAAGAGTCTTGAGAGACCAAGGATAAAACACATCACAGATAAAGGGTCACATATCAGAAGAGCACCATCAGACACAACAATGTGATGGCAAAAGATAATGAAAGGACGCCAACAAATTTCCAGGTGAAAATTATTTTCAAACTCGGCATTCTTTTTTTTTTTTTTTTGACATTCTTGAATTTGATCTGCCCAAGTGCCAACTGGAAGGACTATGAGAACAACAACAAAGACAGGATAATGGCACTTTCAGAGACACAAGCTCTCAAAAAATGTACCTCCCACGCAGCCTCTCTCAGAAAGCTACAAGAGGATGCGCTCCACCTCGATGGGGAAGTCGGCCGAGAAAGAGAGCTCCCGGCCTGCACAGTGAAGGAAACAGTCAACAAAACCGAAAGGCAACCTACGGAATGGGTGAAGATATTTGTAAATGACATAGCCGATAAAGGGCTAGTATCCAAGATCTATAAAGAACTTATCAAACTCAACACTCAAAAACCAAATAATCCAATTAAAAAATGGGCAGAAGACACGAATAGACATTTCTCCAAAGAAGACATCCAGAGGGCCAACAGATACATGAAAAGGTGCTCAACATCACTCAGCATCAGGGAAACGCAAATCAAAACTACCCTGAAATATCACCTCATACCTGTCAGGATGGCTAAAATCAACAGCACAAGAAACAACAAGTGTTGGCGAGGATTCGCAGAAAAAGGAACATTTTTGCACTGTTGGTGGGAATGCTAATTGGTGCAGCCATTCTGGAAAACAGTATGGAGGTCCCTCAAAAAGTTAAATATAGAACTACCCTACAATCCAGCGACCGTACTACTGGGTATTCAGAATACAAAGAATACAAAAATGCTAATTCAAAGGGATACGTGCATCTCTATGTTTATAGCACTGTTATTTGCAATAGCAAAAATATGGAAGCAGCTCAAGTGCCCATCAGTTGATGAATGAAGATGTGATGTATATATATTTAATGGAATATTAGTCAACCATAAAAAAGAATGAAATCTTGCCGTTTGCAAAGACATGGATGGATCTAAAGAGTATAATGTGAGCAAAATAAGTCTGTCACACAAAGACAAAGACCACATGATTTCACTCATACATGGAATTTAAGAAACAAAACGAATGAGCAAAAGGAAAAAAAGAGCGACTAAGCAAGAAACAGACTTTTAACTATAGACAACAGGGGCGCCTGGGTGGCTCAGTCGGTTACGCGTCTAACTCTTGATTTCGGCTCAGGTCATGATCTCAGGGTTGTGAGATGGAGCCCTGTGTCGGGCTCTGCCCTCAGCAGGGAGTCTGCTTGAAATTCTGTCTCTCCTTCTCCCTGTCACTGCCCCCTGAGCACGCGCTCTCTCTCTCTCAAATAAATAAATAAATCTTAAAAAACAAACACACAACATACAGAGGACAAACTGCTGGCCACTGGAGGGGAGGTGGGTGGGGGATGGGGGAACCAGGTGCTGGGGATTAAGGCAGGCACTTGTGAGGAGCACCAGGTGATGTGTGGAGGTGCTGAATCATTGTGTTGTACTCCTGACACTAATACTACACTGGATGTTAACTAACTGGAATCAAAATAAAAACTTAAAGAAAATAAAGGAAAGAAAGAGGGCTCCCGGAAGCGGAGTCCCACAGAGAGGGAAGAGGAGGCTGAGTGAGGACAGACCACAGCGTGGGGAGCAACAGAAAGATGGTGGCAGATGGCTGCCTGAGGAAAGGTACTGAATGTACAAGGAGAACGCAAATGGAAGAACCCCAAGAAACGACGTTAAAAAAGAAAAGATTGAGTTAAGAAAAGAGACAGAGGTTCCTCAAAAAGTAAACCACAGAAGCACCACGTGAGCCAGCCATCCCGCTCCCGCTCCCAGGTACACGCTCCCTGAACACGAACGCGCGCGTCAGCCCCGGGAGCTCGTGTGCGTGCTCACAGCGGCATTGGTCATAGCAGCCAAAAGGCGCAAACAACCTGAATGTCCATCAAATGAACGGATGCACACAAATGGAAAATTCATCAGCCATAAAAAGAAAAAATTACTGAAATATGCCACCGTCTGAATGAAATTCAGAAACATTATGCTAAGTGAAAGAAGCCAGACATGGGCGCCTGGGTGGCTCAGTTGGTTAAGCGACTGCCTTCGGCTCAGGTCATGATCCTGGAGTCCCGGGATCGAGTGCCGCATCGGGCTCCCTGCTCGGCGGGGAGTCTGCTTCTCCCTCTGACCCTCTTCCCTCTCGTGCTATCTCTCATTCTCTCTCTCTCGAATAAATAAATAAAATCTTTAAAAAGAAAAAAAAAAAGAAAGAAAGAAGCCAGACACCAAAGGTGACATGTTAGATTCTTTTTATATTAAAATATCCAAAAAACAATCTATCTAATAACCAGATCACCAACTGATCTGACATAACCAGCACGGACACGAGTCGCAGAGTCAGAGGAGTGGTGGCCAGGGGAGGGGAGGCGGGTGACGAGTGAATACTTAAAGGGCACGGGCTGCTCTTTCTGGGGGGATGAAAACGTTCTGAAATTAGAGAGAGAGGTGATAGCTGAATTTAGCAAATGCACCAAATGCCACTGAACTTGAAAACTGCTAATTGTATGTTAAGTGAATTTCACCACAATAAAGTAATTCTTTAAAAAAGCACAACCCCCTGGGTGCCTGGGTGGCTCAGATGGTTAAGCATCTGCCTTCGGCTCAGGTCATGATCCCAGGGTCCCGGGATCGAGTCCTGCATTGGGCTCCCTGCTCCTTGGGAGCCTGCTTCTCCCTCTGCCTCTCTCTCTCTCTCTCTGTCTCTCATGAATAAATAAATAAAATCTTTAAAAATAAATAAATAAATAAAAAAGCATGACCCCGGACGATCATGAAGCTCAGGAGGCAGACCAGTGTGTTACCATCCTCCTACAACAGCAGCTCGGGAGGACGGGCTCCTTGTTCCCCACGCTTCCTTATCCCTAGTGCCCATGGCACAGCCTGGCCTGTGGCGCTGACTCTCGGACAGCAGATTAGCCCAAACTGCACAACCACCACGCTGGGAGGATGGGGTGAGAGAAAGCAGAGTGGCTCTGGAAGACAGCGAACATTCCCATCTACCGGACTGGGAAAAGTTGACAGATATTTACAAGTGACAGATCAAGAAATGACAGGGTAAGTATCTAAGCGAGGAAAAATGGAGGCTCACACCTGAAGAAACAGCTGTAAGGGTAAAAAGTAGCGTTGCCGCTGGGATGGGGTTGGGGGAGGGGGAGTGGGGGAGGGTGTTAAGAAGGGGTAGAAGAGGGGCGCCTGGGCGGCTCAGTCGGCTAAGCGTCCGACTCTTGGTTTCAGCTCAGGTCATGATCTCAGGGTCATAAGATCAAGCCCCACGTCAGGCTCTGCACTCAGTGGGGAGTCTGCTTAAGATTCTCTCTCCCTCTCCCTCTGTCCCTCCCCCGGCTCTCCCTCTCTCTCTCTAATAAACAAATCTTAAAAAAAAAAAAAAAGAAGGGGTGCAACAGTGGGTGCTATTATTTGACTGAATTCTATTATTTTGTAATCGCAGTTTGTTCTAAGCAAATCTGGTCCCCCGTGGGTGAGGAGGGGGAGGTGGCAGGGGCCACACCAGCACAAAGCAAGGGGGGCAAGCCTGGGCGAGGCCTCCCTACCACCTCCTGGGCCAGAGGAGGCCAAACTGCTCATGAAGGTGGCATCCGGAGCAGGCCAGGCCACATCCCGGAAATCTCTGTCTTCAAGGCCCAGAAGTGACTCTTTTGCAAGAACCTGAAAGACAGGAGCTTCCCATCTGCCACCAACAGCTACTGAGCTGAGCAAGTTGGAACAGGGTAGAAGCCGGGTCATGTTTATGTCTGAGGTGGCGAGCTTCCTTCCGAGCCTGCACAAAAACCAGTGATTCCGACCAGCCGCAAGGTAAAGAAAACTGTCCCCACGGCTCAGAGTCACAGCTGACCGGAAGTCACCAGGGCAGCTTCTACAAGAACCACAGAATTGTTCAGTGTACCATCTGGGGAAGTGAACAACTGTCAGAAAAATAACAACATCTTCTATTTCATGTTTATTAAATGCCAGGCATTGCTTGGGGGCACTCTGTTAAATCCTCACGGTGACCAAACATTTTACACCCTCACTTTCCAGGGGAGGAAGCTGAGACCCAAAGAGTTTAGGTAACCCGCCACTGAGCAGGGAGGCTTACATTTGAACTCAGGCCACTATCACTTCATAGACTTGGAGACTTTCCACAACACTTCACTTACCCCAGGACCCCCGGCTGAGAGTTCTGTGGATTCGACCCTATGCCAAGCATTGTACTCAGTGCTGACCGCAGTGAAAAAGCAGACTGAGATCCTGTCCTCACACTGCAGAGACTGGGAAGCAGCTAGATATAGAATCACGAATGGGCAAACCCATGATTACAGAGGGTGAGGGGGGCTGAGAAGGGAAGGAACACACTGACATGACAGAGAACGAGGGTGCACCTCCGGACAGGGGCACTCGGGAAGGCCTCTCTGAGGGGGTCAGACCTCAAGAAGAAAAGGCATCAGCTCTGCAGAGGGGAGAATGAACCTGCCCAAGCAGGGCGATGGCTCACCCTTTCCAGGACCTCACCCCCACCTCCAAAGCACCCAATACCTGGACGATATAGAGGCAAGGGCAGTACTGGGCCCCTCCTCCGATGCTGATCCCGATCAGGTTCTGAGCATCCTTCTGCAGGGTCACCTTCCCGGGCACAGTAGGGATTCCACTAGAAAGAGAAGCACACGAGGCTGAATCTCCTGGAAGGATGACTGGAGGGGACAGCAAAGGGAACAGGCCCTCCAAAACCCCTGAGAGGCTCCAAGTGCAGCTCAGCTTTTTCTTTTCTCATTTGGCCAAAAGAGACAGCATCTTGCACTGGAACATGCGCAGCTCTTGGGAGTCCTGCAGACACGGGATCAGATCCCAGCTCTGCTATTTACCATCTACAGCACTTGGGTAAGTCAGTCCCCTCTGTGCATCTCAGTTCCCTCATCCATAAAGTGGTAGTAGAAATGGCTTGCTACTTTGATGAAAATTCTTGTAAGAAAGCACATGGAAGGCACTTAACACCAACCCAGCCCAGAGCAGGCATTCCATGAAAACAGGTCCCCCTTCCCTCTCCTTCATCCTACCTCTGAGACCTGAGTCAGACTCTGTCCTTGTCACTTTCTCGGGCACACATGCAACATCATGGCCACCTCCTCCAGGAAGCCTTCTCCTGTTCAACTCTCCATCACCCATCTCTCAATTGCTCTGCTCAATTACCTCTCAGTTTTCACTATAAACCAGCACTTATTTATATTCTGTGGTAGATATTTGCCTTTATTCACTTATTCATTCAACAAACATTTGCTAACAAGCTACTGACGGCGAGCCCCATACTAAGTGTTGAGGACACCGGCAGTGGACAGATGGAGGACAGATTTTAGGAAGGAGACTAACAATTTTTGAAAATCTGTCTCACCAATTGTCTATACTGGGAAGGAAGGCAGGTTTACAATATTCCTATTCACCTTGAAAACTTGCTCAATTGCCACCTCCTTTATGAAGGCTCCCTTGAACACCCTCGTCGAGGCAGTGCTCCATCTGCTCTCTCCTTGTAGCCAGGCCATTCTCCATTAGTGCCCATGTGGCCCTGACCTATTATCTGCTAATGTGTCCACAGCGCAGCTACAGAAGGTGAGCTCCTGGAAGGGCAGGATCCATTCCTGCTACAGTACAAGACCTAATCCCCCGCTGAGAAGCAAGGGTCTGTAGAACCGGGAAGTCTGGGGATCTGGAGGCCCTGGAGCTCGTGCATTCCTGGGACTTGCAGGGAACAAAATACTCACAGTTTATCCTCCTCGATGTCATAATCCAAGTCCGCAAACATGGTTCCGAGAGTTGAGGCGGGCTGGCTAACTGTCCAGCTCGGCAGGGGAATGGGGAACTGCATCAGGGACAGAAAAGAGCGTAGGGTTGGGGGACCCGACGTGCCTAGATGTCAACCTCCACCCCGGCGATCCGGGAGAGCCGGATCATCCCCCTTCCATCTGGACGGCGGGGAGAGTCCCCGAGGTAAGGGGGCGGGAAGGTACGGGATTCTTACTAGGTACAGGGGGTAATTCCGGGCCAGCACGGTGGGCTCAGACCCCAGAGCCCGCCCCCACGGGTCTCCAGGCCCTTGGAAGCTACCTCTGTCGCTCACCGGAAGCGTCGGTCCCACAGCCGGGTCCAGGCCAGCCTGGCACCTGAACCCACCTGCGGTTCCACCTGTCGGCGGCCGCGATTGTCGCGTCACTTCCTGTGAGACGCGGAAGTCCCGCCTTCCCCACCACCAGAGTGTTTGCCCCAGTCCTTGCAGACGACGCTTCCTCCCTGGCTCCCGGTGCTCCCAGAACCAGAAAAGGGAACGAGTATTGACGGAAGCTCGCCGTTTGCACGAAAAAGCGGAAACAGAGGAAAGGTCTGGACAGGCTGACAACGTTCAACCCCGCCCCCTGCCCTGTGGCCGCCGCCATCTTGGTAAGGGCAGGGTTCTTCCCAGCTTCCTCTGCGGGACTCCGGGGACCACGCCGGCCGGGCGGTTGCCGTGGCAACGGAAGCATCCTTGGGCGCGGAGGTTTCCGGCGAAGTTCAGGGGAATACAAACCCTTTCACGTTTTCTGCACCCCGGCCTAGGGTGCTGCATCACCGATGACGGTCTCCGAGCTGGAAGGACCCTTCGAGACTAATCCCAGTTCTGTGACCAGGAAACTAAGTGCCAGAGAAGGAAAGGGATTTTGTCCGGAGCCACCCACGGTTGGTATAAGATCTAGATCTTGACCCTGAGACTCCTGCCATCTAGTGCAGCGCCCTTTTAACGTTTGCACACTTGTATTCAGTGGCTTTGTTATTAACGACAGATTGGACAAGTTACCTTCCTTTGCCTTTATGTGCCCCCTTTCGCCATATGCAAACTAAGAGCATCGAGGCAGATGCTTTCTATGGTATTTGGTGAAAGACTCCTCACACCTCATCTCTTTCTTTAGTCTTGAGGAGCAGCCTCCCGGGCCCCACGGAGGGTCACAGCTTCCTTCCAGGGGCAGCGGAGGAAGGAGAGATATAGAAGGATGATTATCTGCACATCCCACCATTCAATGGGAGCCCCACCCCACACACTCCTTAGGAAGCTAATCTGAGCCCCAGCAAACGTGCAGAATGCCAAAGTAGCAGTGACCTTCTCATGTACCCACTGTTCTGCAGTTCAGGTTACTCACAGGATTTCAAATTTCACCACGACCCTATGAGAGGCGAATAAGGATTGCCAGCCACATTGTGCAGGTAAGGAAACTGAGGCTCAGAGAAGCAGCTTCCCCTTGTCTCACAGATAGATGGTTGGTAGCAGAGCTAGGGCTGGAACTTCCAAGCCCTGTTCAGGCCAGGATTTTAATTTTAAAAAGCAGCAGCTGGGGGGGCCTGGGTGTCTCAGTCGGTTAAGTGTCCGATTCTTGATTTCCACTCAGGTCATGATCTGAGGGTGGTGGAATTGAGCCCCGCCTAGGAATCAGCGGGGAGTCTGCTTGAGAAGTTTCTCTCTCCGTCTCCCTCTGCCCCCGCTCCTGTGTTTGTGTGTGCACATGCTCTCTCTCTCAAAATAAATAAATCTTAAAAAAAAAAATGCAGCAGTCTTAGCTCAAGCCTATGTTCTGCCATTTTATAACTGGGTGACCTTGGGCAAGTCACTGCCTGACTCTGAGCTTCAGGTATCTGTAGACCAGGGGGAAATGATCCTCCCAGCAGTTACTTGTGAAGGTCAAGATAAAGAGAACCAGGTGTGAGTGTTTTGTAAACAATTCTCACGGCAAAGATGCCACTCAAGCCTCCTGACTCCCCCACCCACTCTGGTCCCTCTTCTCAGGGGAGGGTCCCTCTCTTCTGCTTCATCCTCCCCATCTTCCAGGCCCCATTCTGACCCTCCTCTCCCAGGTAGTCTTACCAGGCAATCCCTGCTCACAAATCTTGCCACTTTTACTTAGTTCCAGAAACAGTTATTTGGATCATTCATTTAGAATTATGTCTGGCCTTCTGAAATCTCTTTATGGCTTCCCTGAGCCAATTCTGAGTTGATTAACTTATCCACGCTTGTACTTTGTCTAAGGAGGTTTTTTTCCCCTTTAAACTTGGGGCCTAGGACTACTGGGTATTTACCCCAAAGATACAAATATAGGGATTTGAA